AAAAGTACAGCCCGAACCCGCCCGAACCCGGCAGGACCTCTCGGGTCCCGTCGGGTTCGGGCTAATATTCCCTGCTCTACCCTGGGCCTCCTCCCGGTAGGATGTGCCTGGAACAGCTCAGAGGGAGGCGTCCAGGGGCTATCCGAAAAAGATATCTAAACTGACTCCCGAGCTCCTCATCCTATCTCTAAGATATATCCCATCTTTTCCTGCTTGTATCCATGATCTCGTGCTTTTGGCCGTGATCCATATTTAATCACCTAAGACTAAGGGTAGGAAGGTAGACCCACCGGTAAACCAAGAGCTTTGCCTCTCTGCTCAGCTCTGACTTCACCACAACAGACCATTCTCCCCTAAATCTGAACAGGAACCCAAGATACTTGAACTCCTCCACTTGAGGAAGGAACTCTCCTCCAACCTGGAGGGGACTGTCAACTTTTTCCAGTTGAGAATCATGGACTTGGAAGAGATGATTCTCATTACACTTGGCTGCAAACCGAGGTCCTAGCAGGAGGGAGCCAGCAGAACCAGATCATCTACAGAAAGCAGAGACGAGATCCACTGCTCCTCCCACCAGACCAGAGATGCTGTCCATAAAGGTTATGAACAGGAGCGGTGACAGAGGGCAGCCCTGCCAGAGTCCAACATGCTCTGGGAACAGATCTGACTTAAAGCCAGGCTCCTGCTCCACTTGCATAGAGTTTATCTTTATTGTCTTTATTGTTGTGTTTCATTAACAGGCTACAGATTGCTGCAGACCAAGTTAACCCCCCACCCACCCACCTCCTTTTATCACCCTTAATGAATGCAGGACCAAAGCTAAAAGTCAGTTTCAGAAATTGAATTGAAGTTCTTACTGAAGGCTGGAATCATAGATGAAATGAGGCAAACTGATTCAGACACTTTGATCAAAACATTCATTATAATTCCGGGCATCAGGTTTATGTCAGAGTCATGCTGATTTAATAAACGCTGGCTGATCTCCCCTCCGCATACCTAACACTCTTTTTATGATCCAGATCAATTGACACTCAAATTGACATTTGTGATAATATCAGGAGCTGATCCACCGTTCCAACACGTCAACACCAACACTCACCCAGACCCAGGAAGCAGAAGACCCACTGTGCCACGGCGGCAGTCTGCAGCCTCCTTTGGAGGGGCACGTTCACAGGCGCAAAATCGATTTTCATTTTTCTGTGAGTGGAAAGGCAAACTGTTACGCTGCTGAAGAGACTAAGAAAGACAGCAAATGGAAGGAAAGTCCAAAGTCTATAAAAGTTTGCTTTTCTTACCTTTCTACCATCCTCTCCTGTGGACTGTTGGCTTATCTTGACTCAATAGGCTGTTTGATTTCTCAGAACTTAGCAGCTACATCTGACCTTTCACCCAGAGGGGCAGCGAATGCTCGGATGCAGAGCAATGAATGGATGTGAAATTCTGATTATACCACCATTAACTCCCTGCAGAGACGTTAAAGGATTGTGTCAGATCATACGAAACGTTGCTCTTTATGATTGTAAATGGAGCCCAGCTGATTGAGCAACAACGCAAGAGTTTCTCACTGTAACACAGTGATAAAGGTCATTAGCAGAGGGCTGGCACATTTCTTATCACACTATGATGCTATCAGCACTGAAAAAAACGTCTTAAATGTTGCTACAGGCCTGTTAGGAGGTGAAATGAGAAAAGAGAAACATTTGTTAGATGAGATGAGTGAAGGGGGCCATTAAAGCTGATGGATGTGGTCGTTTTTCTCTTGGTCAATTCTCAGATAATTAATTGATCCACAGATTTAGAAAAGAATAGAATACCGTGATTAAGACTGTGTATATTTATTTCTTTATTTTCATTTAATTTTTCACTTGTCAGGTTGGGGTTTGAACTGCTCACTCTCCTAAGAATATCTCAAGTCTCAACTAAGTGCGGAGCCCATTCCCCCCGTCCTGCCCCCCCTTCCGCTGGCTGACGCTGGGGCTCACCGGTGCAGTGGTGGTGCTTGTTGTTTGGAGGTGGATGCCCGGGTGGCTACTGGCTTATCCTGGCGGCAGCTCCACAGGGCCTGGCCCCCCGGGGCCCAGTCGGGGGTCCCGCCGGCTGGCAGGGCGCCCCTGGGGACTCTGGCCCATGGCCGGATCCACTTCAGGGTGGCTAGCTGCTGGCAGAGCCCGTGGCCTCATCCCTGCGGCTCCTGAGGGCCCTGGTATAGAGGTGGATGGGGGTTTTCTTGGGGGCCATCTCTTCGCCTCCCTTGGTGGGGGGGGTCAGATTTCCTGGGTTGACCCCTCCCGGGCACCTTTACTCTTGGGATCCCTTTGGTCGTCTGGGGCTTTGATCCCCCGGCACTCGCCTCAGTGCTCTGGGGGGGCGGGTCTTTGGCTCTTCACAACCACTATTGAGCAATTTTCCTTTGGATAAACGTTACATGCACAAGTGCACTCTCACAAACAGCTGCAGGTTCTTTGTTCCAGGTACTTAGAGATTGACTTCCATACAGAAAGCCCATATTCTGATCTTCAACTACCAGAGCATACATGTCAGATTAAATGATACTACTTATACTTCAACGATAGTATCAGGTTGTTATTTTATTGCATCTCTTATACTATATCCGTTGGTTGTTCTGATCTTTTTAGATCTCTTTACATGTAATGAAGCATATTTTTTTTCTGTTTTTCTGTTTTTCCTTTCCTGTTCTACTTACATTGCAGTGTCCATATAATCTGTACAACTCCCTGCATGAATTATAATAAAGCAATTTATATGCATAAATCAAGCGGAACACTATGACCATAGCCTTACTGCTCCACCTGTGAAAGTAAAATCTATTGGGCCCTTTTTGGCATCAAGACAATTATTCTTATTTCCACATCGCCAGACTGGACACTGTTAAAAAAAAAAATAGATTAGAATAGAATAGAAAATCCCTTTATCGTCCTAAAATGGGGAAATTCTGATGTTTACAGCAGCAAAAAGATTATAGAAAGAAATGGTCACACAAATGTGGACCTTGGAGGAGTGTATAAAATAATGTAAAAGTAGAGAGTTTAAAAAATAAATAAATAAAATACTAGACTGTGAAGTGTTTTAACAGTATAAAACTGTGAACCTGGAGAATAAGTAACCATGGACATTTTTACAGTAATGGATATTTTAAAATAGCAGCAACATCAGAGATGTGCAAAATGACAGCAGCATGTTATTTAACTGACTAGGGTAGAAAATGTGCAAAAATCAGCATGAACGTAACAATTTATTGAGGTTATTGAGGTTGTTGGGAACAGTGATAGTTATAAAGTCTTCCAGCTGCTGGGAGGAAGGATCTGTGATAACGCTCCCTGGTGCATTTAGGGTGCAGAAGTCTGTCACTAAAGGAGCTCTCCAGTTCTGCAACAGCTTAATGAAAGGGGTGGGAGACAATATCCAAGAGAGATGTTAATTTCCAGAGGGCATCCAATCACAGATTTTCATGGAGCAGCAGATTAACAGAGTAAAATTAGAAAGTGAACATATTTCTGAGCGCTAACAGTGATAAACAAGCAGTAAGAGGAATCAGACATCATACATGTTCTAATCGTCAGACTGGCCAGACTGATACCAGTACGTCACTTCAAATGAGAAAAAGGAATTTGAGTAACCCATCAGCCAAGGCTTTTCCCTTTGTGTTTGAGGGGACAAATCTACGCATGATCATGAAATAATTTTGTACAAATACCTTTTTTTAAAAAAAAAAAAGAAAAAAAATCAAAGATAAAAAATAACCTTAAGAACATCTATTCTTAAAAAAAAAGTTCTGTGCACAAAAATAGGCTTAATATCTTTTTTTCTTCTTGTGTTGATAGAGAACATAAAAACACACTGACTCTGTCTGGTTTGGTTCTAAATTAAAATTTCAGACAGAATAATATAGATTGAACCAAACAACAGTTCTGCTTAGACAGCAGAATATATCAATGCTCTGGTATTAACAGCATAAAAATTTCTAATTACATTACAATTGACATAGAACTTGAAACATCATCAACATATACATTTAAAATCTAATCAAGAAGGAATATCTGATTCATCATCTGCAATATTCCTGCTGTGTCCATCCCTGTTGCTTTAATTGGAAAGATTGTCTTTACTCTCTAGGTTATCCCTCTGTTAGATGTGTTTATTATTAGAGGTAATGAGCCAGTTTGGAGACAATAAGGAGCAGAAAGAACTGAATTTGGTGTTGAAATGTAGAGAGTAAAAGTTAAAAGTCCTCAGAAGAATAAATACTAAATTATAGATACAAAAAAAAACTACTTCAGTGCAGTAAAGGAGTAGTTATATATTTATAATAAAAGTATAATTCCATTTTTTTTTTTGCATATTTTTTCTGCATATTTTTTCAGAGCCCTCCAGCGCCCCCTGGCGGCCTCCCCATTAAAAGCCTTTTAAAGAACTGCATCTTTTTAAAGTGGAAGGGAACTGAACAGTTTTTCATCATTTCCAGTGAAAGTGTGACATGAGTGCGGCAATAAATGAAAGAGGAGGGTTTGAGTTATCAGCTTTTTATTTAGAAGGACCACAGTTTGTATCCAGGTGAATATTTTTCCATTAACTGGTCTGTTTCTGGAGGTTTCTGGTGTTCATGCTTACATGTCTACAGCTTATTTCCGTGCATCATCATCATATGGACCTCCCTCACTGCTGATGTTGGAACTAAAGAAGATATACATAGAACTGACACATTGTCAATAAGATATAAAATATAAAATATAATATAAATATAATATAAATATAATATAAATATAATATAAAATATGCAGATAATTTTTTTATTGATAACTATCTAGAGGTTTTGGCATGTATTTTTATCGGGCCTCCTTGACATGACATCAGCGCAGTTATAGCCTCAGGTATAGAGAAAAGGCAAGTAGAAAGCCATGAAGTTAACATTGTTCCACAAGACTAGTAGATCAGTGGTTCATAAAGTGCAGGTTGGGATCCCTGACATATAGCTAAAATATATCATAAAACAAATATATATGAAAGATATGAAAAATTTACTATAAAAAGTAGAGGTGATTTTAATCTATTATGTCTAATAGATTATTCAAATATTAGTTACATTACCTAGTAAAATGCACTATTAAATTAAAAAATATATATTTAAAATGAATAAAATCTATTACAAAAAGTATTTTTTTTTTAAAGTATATTAAAAAAAGAAACTTGTTATACTTTTTAAATAGAGTAAAGTAACCACATGGGTTTTTAGGGGGTCACCAGTCTCTTGTATCTTTATTTTTTGAGGTCACACACAGGCTGACATGTTTGGGAACATCTGGAAGGAGGAGCTCTACTCTAAAATGATCAACTGGAGGTTTATCTGGAACCAAACAGCTAAACTTAAACCAATAAAATGAGCATTAGGTCAGCCACATTGACCTGGTCCTCTCCTAAACACATTCGCTTCAGCTTCTTTGTCCTCACCTAACTCTATGCTGGGACTCCTGCCCTACACATGAGGCAGGACTCCCACCTTTGGGTCCTGAAATATTGATAAATGATAAAGCATCATTGAAATGCAGAAATATTTGTTTAAACAGCAAAGCAAGCTATTAACTTACCAACATTTGTCTTGGTAATATGAACTAAGACATTTCATAGAGCTTAAGTCAGGGGTAGGCAATTCCAGTTCCTGATGGCCGGTATCCTGCAACTTTTCGAGGTGTGTTTGGATCAACAGACCTGAATCAAATAATTAACTTATTAAGACGACTCTGGAGGAACTGACTGCCTACTGAAGAGGTAACTCCGCCTTTTGATTCAGGTGTGTTGGACCAGTGATGGATCTAAAAGTTGCATGTTTTCTTTGCCAAAACAAGGCTTGGCTTTGGTCCCCTCTATAAAGCCTCCAACTCAACGCTTTTTTCAGACATTTTGAATTGAAAAAATGTTCCTGGATTGGAAGCGAAACATCCTTAAACTTGGAAACAAAGTCCAGTGGATTGGTTTTTTTTTAAACTTTTTTTGGCATCAACAGAAACGGAGCGTAATTATGAGGGAAATTTTAAATTTACCCCATGGAGCCCGGCCCAGTTTGTTGCACTACTGCCTTGCATCAAAAAGGTGTTAGGTTTGAATCCTGTCCCAGGATTGCATGGAGTTTGCATGTCCTCCCTATGCATGCATCAGTTCAGGGTATTTTGGCTTCTTCTCATTGTTCAAAAACATGTGAAATTGATTGACATTTCTAAGTTTCCCTAATGTGTGTGTTTGCATGGTTATATACCTCTGACCTTTGGTGAACTGGTGAATCCTGTCTTTTGAGCAAGATAAAAAAGAACCTTTAAATGGCATTGAGCATGGGGCAATTAAAAGTATGGTTGAAAATTGGCATATACCGTAGTCCCAGCTTCATTTATTTATGCTAAAATTTCACCCAGCAAAAGAATTTGACCAGAGCTGGAATAA